GTCGGTGGCCGTGGGTGGCACCGTGGTGGTCCAGGAGCCCGTGGGCCACTGTCCCTGCCCCTGAGTGTGCCCCTGGTGTCCCCCCAGGTGTCGGTGGCCGTGGGTGGCACCGTGGTGGTCCAGGAGCCCGTGGGCCACTGTCCCTGCCCCTGAGTGTGCCCCTGGTGTCCCCCCAGGTGTCGGTGGCCGTGGGTGGCACCGTGGTGGTCCAGGAGCCCGTGGGCCAGCTGCGGGGGGTGTGGGAGGCCACGAGCTTCTCCCTGGAGCGGCTCCAGGCCAACCCCGAGCTGGTGGCCCAGGAGGAGCAGGACCTGGGCCAGAGATGGGGACCCTCCTACCAGCTGACCTTTGACCCCTGCGAGGAGCCCCCCCTGCTGCGGCACATGGGTGGGACACTGGGGACATTGGGGGGGGACTGGGGACATTTGGGGGGGATTGGGGGGGATTGGGGACATTGGGGGGACATTTGGGGGGGACTGGGGACATTGGGGGGGATTGGGGACATTGGGGGGACATTGGGGGGACATTGGGGACATTGGGGGGACATTGGGGACATTGGCAGGGACATGGGGGGGGACATTGGTGGGGACATTTGGGGACCATTGGGGGGACACTGGGGGGACACTGGGGACATTGGGGACATTGGGGGACACTGGGGGACATTGGGGACATTGGGGACATTGGGGGACATTGGGGGACATTGGGGACATTGGGGACATTGGGGGGACATTGGGGGACATTGGGGGGACATTGGGGGAACATTGGGGGAACATTGGGGGGATTTGGGACATTGGGGGCAATGGGGGGATATTGGGGGGACATTGGGGGGATTGGGGTGGATTGGGGACATTGGGGGCAATGGGGGGACATTGGGGGACATTGGGGACATTGGGGGGATTTGGGATATTGGGGACATTTGGGGACATTGGGGGGACATTGGGGGGATATTGGGGGACATTGGGGGGACATTGGGGGGATTTGAGGACATTGGGAGGATTTGGGATATTGGGGATTTGGGATATTGGGGACATTGGGGGGACATTGGGGGACATTGGGGGACATTGAGGGATGTTTGGGACATTGGGGACATTGGGGACAATCGGGGGGATTGGGGGAATTGGGGACATCAGGGGACATTGGGGGAATTGGGGGTACTGGGGACATTGGGGGGACATTGGGGACATTGGGGGGACATTGGGGGACATTGGGGGGACATTGGGGGGACATTGGGGGACATTGGGGACATTGGGGACATTGGGGGACATTGGGGGGACATTGGGGGACATTGGGGGGGTTGTGCCACCCCGGATGTCCCCCCGCTGCCCCCCCAGGGGACGTTCCTGGTGACACAGGAGGTGACAAAGGCCTTGGTGACATCGGGGGACCCCGGGGGGGCCTCCCTGGTCCTCGTGGGCAGCGTGGTGGCCAAGGTGGGACCCCCACTTGTCACCGTCATTGTCACTTGTCACGGTCAGTGTCCCCAAAATGGGGGTAAAAGCCCTAAAAATGGGGATAAAGCCCCTGAAAACGCCAATTTTGGGGGGGATTTGGGGACATTGGAGGGGGTCCCAGGGGTGTCCCCTCCCCTTTGTCATTGTCACTTGTCACTGTCCCCTCCCCCCTGCCCAAAATTGGGGATAAACCCCCCAAAATGGGGATAAACCCCCCCAAAATTGGGGATAAACCCCCCAGAAACACGAATATTGGTTGGGTTTGGGGACACTGGGGGGGGCTGTGGACACCGAGGGGGGTCCCAGGGGTGTCCCCTCCCCTTTGTCATTGTCCCCTCCCCCCCAGGTGGGGAATTTGGGCCAAACCAACTACGGGGCCTCCAAGGGGGGGGTGGAGGGGCTGACCCGGAGCGTGGCCAAGGAGGTGGCCAGGTGGGGACACTGGGGGACATCTGGGGACATTTGGGGACATTTGGGAGGGGACAAGGGAAAATGGGGGGGAAAGGGAGAAAATTGGGGGATTTGGGGGGAATTCGGGGGAAAAATTGGAGGAAAAGTGGGGAAATTTGGGGGGAAATGGGGAAAAGTTGGAGGACTGGGGGGAAAATTTGGAGGATTTTGGGGGGATTTGGGGGAAAATTGGGGGATTTGGGGGGAAATGGGGAATTGGGGGAAAATTGGGGGAAAATGAGGAAGAAATGGGGGGAAATTGAGGGGGAAATTGGGAAAATTTAAGGGGGAAATGGGGAAAAATTGGAGAGAAAAGGGGGAATTTGGAGGGAAATATGGGAAAATTGGGGAATTGGGGGGAAAAGGGGGAAGAACTGGGGAAAACTGGGGAGAAAATAGGGAAATGGGGAAAAATTGGAGGGGGGATCGGTGGAATTTGGAGGGAAATTGGGGGGAAAAGGGGGAAGAAATGGGGAAAACTGGGGGGAAAATTGGGAAATGGGGAAAAAGGGGGGAATTTGGAGGGAAATGGGGAAAAATTGGGGGGAAATCGGGGAAAATGAGATTGGGGGGGTTTGGTGACCCGGGGGGGGAGTCGGTGACACCCTGGGGGGGGGTGACATGGGTTGGAGGGACCCCTCTGACCCCCCCCAAATCCCTCCCCCAAGGTTTGGGATCCGCTGCAATTCCGTCCTGCCGGGATTTATCGTCACCCCCATGACGGACAAAGTGCCCCCAAAAGTGCTGGACAAGGTGACAGCGGGGGGGTGGCACCTCCTGGGGACATTGGGGGGACAGTGGGGGACATTGGGGGACATTGGGGACATTGGGGGGACATTGGGGGACACTGGGGGACATTGGGGACTTAGGGGGGACACTGGGGAGGTGACACCAGAGGTGACCCTTGTGTGTGTGTGTGTGTGTGTCCCTCTCAGTTCGCAGGGATGGTGCCACTGGGACGACTGGGGGACCCTGAGGGTGAGTTGGGGACACTTTGGGGACACTTTGGGGACACTTGGAGGTGCCACCACCCCCCGGTGTCCCCCAGACGTGGCAGACGTGGTGGCTTTCCTGGCGTCGGGGGACAGCGGCTACGTCACCGGGGCCACCCTGGAGGTGACAGGTGGGGACCCCCCATGTCCCCCTAGTGTGTCCCCAGTGTGTCCTCAATGACCCCCCAGTGTGTCCCCAACGTCCCTCCAGTGTCCCCCCAATGTCCCCCCAATGTCCCCCCAGTGTCCCCCCAATGTCCCCCCTTTCCCTCTCTCATTCCAGGGGGTCTCTTCATGTGACGGATCCAGCCCCTCCCCCCGATGTCCCCCCAATGGGGGGGAGGGGCAGACCTCAAAATTTGGGGGGTTGGGATGGGGGGGAGGCCCCGAGTTTGGGGAGAGGGGACCCCAAAATTTGGGTGGGGGACAAAAGGGGGTCCCAAAAATTGGGGAGGGTCCCAAAACTGGGGAGGAGGGGCCTAAAGTAGGGGAGGGGCTCCCCCAAAATATGGGGGGGAACCCCAAAACTGGGGGGGGGTCGAGGGAGGGGGGTGGAAGCCCCTCCAAAAAACCACCCGGAGCTGTTGCCATGGAGATGGTTATTGGCCACGCCCACCGAGACCACGCCCACCCCTCCCCTCCCTTAAATTTCTAAAACAACAAAAATAAACATTTTGGACCTCAAAATTGAGGTTTTTTTGGGGTGGAGACCCCAAATTTTTGGGGTGGGGGTTTGGGAGGGGTCTCTAAAATTCGGGGGGCGAGGTCAGATGTGGCCCTGCCCCCTCTTGACCCTACCCCCCTTAAAACCTCCTCTAAAACGACAAAAATAAACATTTTGGGCCTCAAATTTTGGAGTTTTCTGAGGCAAACCCCCCCAAGAGTTTTGGGAGGTGTCCCCAAAATCCGGGAGGGGTGGAGTTAAGAGAGGGTGGAGCCAAATCCTCCATCTTTTCTGCCTTAAACCTCCTCTAAAACGACAAAAATAAACCTTCTGGATGCCAAATTTTGGAGTTTTTAGAGGCAAAATCCCCCAGAATTACCCCTAATTAGCACATAATGCCCGGGGTTCATGTTAATAATTAATTAGCCCATAATAGCTGTGGGTAAATCATTAACCCCTAATTAATCCATAATATCCGTGGGTTCCCATCAATCCCAAATTATCCCAAATGGTCCCAAACAGTCCCAAATTATTCCAAATAGTCCCAAATGATCCCAAATCCCAAATGGTCCCCAAACTCAAATCCCAAATCCCAAATCCCATGTGGTTCCAAATCCCAAATAAACCCCAAATCCCAAGTAAACCCTAAATCACCAGTGATTCCCAATCCCATGTAGTTCCAAATCCCATATAAAAGCAAATCCCAGAAGTTCCCAAATCCCAAATAACCCTTAAATCCCCAATAATAGCAAATCCCATATATTCCCCAATCCCAAATAAACCCCTAAATCTTCAATAATTCCCAAATCCCAAATAAATCCCAAATCCTCAATAATTCCCAATCCCATATATTCCCCAATCCCAGATAATAGCAAATCCCAGGTGTTCCCAAATCCCAAATAACCCCTAAATCCCCAAGAATTCCCAATCCCGTATAATCCCAAATGCCAAATAAATCCCAAATAATAACAAATCCCATTGAGGTGGTTTGAAGCTGGCTCCCTGCCAAGTCTCCAAACCTCACCACAAGAGCTCCCCCCCCCAAAACCAAGGGAGAAGACAAAAAAAACAAGAGAACTAAAACGAGAGAGAGACAGCTGAAGCAATATATATATAAATATAAATATATTTACACTTATATTACACTTATATACAATTGAAATATATGTACAATTTCAAAAGGAAAGGGGAAAGGGAAGGGGAAGGAAAAAAAGGAACAAAAGCAAAATAAAATATACACGATCACTCTCCCAAGATCTAACAAGTAAAAGAATTAGCAAAGGATATCTCCCTGCTCTCCTTGGCACAACAGAAAGTGGCTCTGGAACGACCCCGGCACCCTCCGTCTGCCAAGGTCGGCAGGGCCTTACCAGGCCTCGCTCCCCAACCCGACAGACTCCACACAGGGAACCTGCACCTCCAAAGCTGGAAGGAAAGAGGGCAAAGGCCTCTCCTCCTTTCTTCTTATAGCCCGGCTTAGGTAAAAACCGTGGGGAATAGCGGGGAAATCTGGGCACTGCCTGGGTTACAGACTGGTCATGAAGGAAGGCCCAGCCTAAAGTACCACAGACATCACATCCTCCTCTGTGACATCACATCCTCCTCTGCGACATCACATCCTCCCCATGACATCACAGCTCCTCTATGATGTCACATCCCCCTCTGTGACATCACATCCCCCTCTGTGACATCACATCCTCCCCATGACATCACATCTCTCCGTGACATCACATCCTCCTCTGTGACATCACATCTCTCCTGTGACATCACATCCTCCTCTGTGACATCACATCCTCCCCATGACATCACATCTCTCCTGTGACATCACATCCTCCTCTGTGACATCACATCCCCCTCTGTGACATCACATCCCCCTCTGTGACATCACATCCTCCTCTGTGACATCACATCTCTCCTGTGACATCACATCCTCCTCTGTGACATCACATCCCCCTCTGTGACATCACATCCTCCTCTGTGACATCACATTCTCCCCATGACATCACATCTCTCCTGTGACATCACATCCCCCTCTGTGACATCACATCCCCCTCTGTGACATCACAGCTCCTCTATGATGTCACATCCCCCTCTGTGACACCACAACTCCCCTATGAGATTACATCCTTCCGGTGACATCACACCCTCCTCTGTTTCATCACATCTCTCCTATGACATCACATCTATCCTGTGACTTCAAACTCTCCTGTGATATCATATTGTCCCTGTGATGTCACGTCCTCCCCTGTGAAATCACAGCTCTCCTATGACATCCCATCCTTCCTGTGACATCACATCCTCCTCTGTGATGTCACATCCATCATATGACATCACATCTCTCCTATTACATCACAGCTCCACTGTGACATCAGAGCTCCCCTATGACATCACATCCTTCCTGTGACATCACATATCTCCTATGACATCAGATCATTCCTGTGACATCACATCCTCCTCTGTGATGTCACATCCTCCTCTGCGATGTCACATCCTCCCCATGACATCACATCTCCTCTACAACGTCACATCCATCATGTGACATCACATCCTTCCTGTGACATCACATCCCCCCACTGTGACATCATGTCTCCCCTATGACATCACATCTTCTCTGTGACATCACATCCTTCATGTGACATCACATCCACCCTTATGACATCACAGCTTCCAGGTGACATCACATTCCTTCTGTGACATCACATCGTCCCTGTGATGTCCTCCACTGTGACATCACATCTCCTCGTGACAGCACACCCTCCCCTGTGACATCACATCACTCCTATGACATCACTTCCTTCCTATTACACGACATCTCCTCTATGACATCACATCCTCCTCTCTGGCATCAGATGCAACATAACAGCTCCTCTCTGACATCACATCCTTTATGTGACATCACATCCTCCCCGTGATGTCAAGGGGATATGTGATGTCATAGGAGGGGAGGACGTGATGTCAGAGGGACGATTTGATATCACAGCAGAGGTTTGATGTCACAGGATGGATGTGATGTCCCAGAGGAGGATGTAGCTGCTCCATCTCAGTCACCTCAGAGGGGCCCTCACGGGTACCTTGTCCCTCCACAGATTTCCCGGAACAAGCCTGATCTTGTGCCCCTCCCCCATCATGTCCTGTTTAGAACCCTGGGACACTGTGGAACCTCATGGAACCCAAGGGACCCTGGGACACTGTGGAACCTCATGGAACCCAAGGGACCCTGGGACACTGTGGGGGCTCATGGAACCAAAGGGACCCTGGGACACTGTGGGGGCTCATGGAACCAAAGGGACCCTGGGACACTGTGGGGGCTCATGGAACCCAAGGGACCCTGGGACACTATCAGGAGCCTCGTGGTGCCCAGGGCTGAGGAATCCCGTGGGTGCAGGTGGCTCAGGGAGCAGCTGCAGTCGGATCCAAACTATTCTCATATCACCTGAAGATGACCCTGCTAACAGAGGTCCTGTGTGTTCCCTCTGCTCTCTGGGCACTTGCATCCTTTGAGAGCTGCCCATCACTCTGGTAGCCAAGAGCACAGGGCGGGGGATCCCCTGGAGGGGGAGCAGAGACATCTTTCCTAGATCACCTTGCTCAGAGCCCCATCCAAGCTGGCCTTGAATGTTTGCAGGGATGGGGCATCCACCACCTCCCTGCAAATGTCTTCCTGTGTTTCAGCATTCTCACTATGAAATATTTCTTCTTTATCTCTAGTCTGAACTTACACTTTTTTAGTTTAACTTCCTCACCCCCTGTCCTATTGTGACAGGCCCGACTGAACCCTTTGCCCACATGTCTCTAAAAAGCTGCCTTGATGTACTGGAAGGCCCCAAGGAGGTCTCCCCACAGCCTTTTCTTCTGCAGGCTGAAGAGCCCCCACTCTCTCAGCCTGTCTCCATGCGAGAGGTGCTGCAGCCCTGGGATCCCCTTGGTGGCCTCCTCTGGAAGTGCCCCAAGAGGTGCGTGTCTTTGCTGTGCTGAGGAGCCCATGGAGCTGCAGGAGATGCCAGGGCTGGCAGGGGAATCCCCCCAAGCCATTGCCATTGCGGGTGGGTGCGTTGCAGACAGCCAGAGGAGCCCAGAGCTGGAGGCAGCACTGCAGGGGGGTCTCAGCTGAGCGGAGCAGAGGGGCACAACCCCCCTCCCCTGCTGCCCACGCTGTGGGATGAGCCCAGGACACGGGGGGGTTGTGGGCTGTGAGCTCCCATTGCTGGCTCCCATCCTGCTTTTCATCCCCCACTATCCCCATGGCCTTGGATGCAGGGCTGCTCTCCATCCCTTCAGTCCCGAGCCTGGCCCTTGAGATCTGGGGGCATTTGACACCCGCTGGCTCCTTTGATCCCCTTTCCCATCCCTCCCAGAGCCCAGGGAAGGACTGAGGGGCTTTGGCTGATTGTCCCTGATCCTCCCCTGCCCCAACACCAAGCTGTGCTCCTTGGGGACGGTGCTTGGACAGCCCCAGTCAGACCCTGTTTCCCGCTGTGCCCCCAAACCACCGGGTGCCCCAGGGGACGTGGGAACACACATGGACACAGGAACACACCCGTGGATGTGGGACCACACCCACCCAGACAGACACAGAGCA